ACAGGAGCGGCCTTGGGGAGGTGAGAGGAGGAATCCCGCCAAGAACAGGGTTCATGGACAGGGATGAGTACAGACGGGGGGACAGTTTGGATGTTCCCTTTTGGTTGCTGCTTTCTTCTTGGCAAAATAAGAATCGGGGTTATCAACTGAATGGAAAGAGGGCGTGGAAGGTTTGTGCAGTAGTTCTGTCTGGGAGAGTTGGGGGGTGGAAGATGAGGAACAGGTAGCGGGAGTACAGTAAAGTATGTGACAGGGAGTGACTGCAGTGATCTAAGTAAGGCGTCTAAGTGAGGAGGATGGCAAGGACATTGCGGGTTGGAGTGGGGCAGGATGGGCGGTAGAAAAGGAGCAGGCCGGGGGCAGTGACTCACACCTGTAATCCCTACACTTCGGGGGTCTGAGGCAGGAGGATCCCTTTATGCCAGGAGTTTGAGACCAGTCTGGGCCACATAGCGAGGCACCTGTCTCTACAAAAGAATAAAAAATTAGCTGGGCGTGGTGGCGTGCACCTGTAGTTCCAGCTACTTAGGGGGCTGAGGTGGGAGGATCGCTTGAGTCCAGGAGTTCGAAGTTGCAGTGAGCTACGATGGTGCCACTGCACTCCAGCCTGGGTGACAGAACTAGACCTTGTCTCTACAAAAATAATAAAATTAAAAAATAAAAAGTTCAAAGAAAGAAAAGAAAAAAGACAAGGGACAAAGGCAGGGTTTGCAGGAGGGTGGAAGGGCAGCAGGGCCTGAAGGGTCACGGTACTGGAGAGTGGAGCTGGAGAACCGGATATAACAGGAAAGGTGGCAGAGGGCGGAGAGGGCGGGGCTTGGTGCGGCTGCTGGGCGTAGGTGTGGCCCTAGGAAGCAGAAAGCTGAGGTGATGGGCAGGTAGGTGTTGGCACCTTCTGCTCGCTGTCTGTGTGTCTCTGTGTGTGTCTGTGGCTTGCTTTTATCCATCCTACTTATTTCTAAAGATCTATCCATGTTGCACGTGTAGCTCTAGTTAGTGATTTCGGCTGTTGTATCGTACTGTTGTGTGACTCTACCACAGTGTGCCTGCCAGTAGGCATTCTGATGCTTAGGTTGTACCATATGCAATTGCTGGTATTGGACCATTTTTAATCTGCAAAAACATCAGTTTCACATGGTTCAAGATAATGTGTTCCCAGTTTTTGCTCCCTCAGGCAGCTTCAGTGAACTGGCTCGTATGTGTGTCCATGTGCACACGTGTGAAGGTGTCTCTGGGCCCTGTACTTAGGTGCTTGACCCCAGAGCCACACGGCGCACACAGCTTGACTGGGAAGGGGACTGACTTGCACTCCCACCAGTAGCACAAGGGTTCCTTTATCAGTAACGCTTGGCATTGTCCAGCTGTTAAATCGCTGCCAGTCTGATGGGCGTGACATTATTTAGCACATAGGTGGCGAACCACAGCAACCTCCTACCCGTCTGGCACAAAGTCCACATATGCTCGTGCCATAATTAATAGTGGGCTTCAGATCCCTTGGACCAGCGGTCCCCAACCTTTCTGGCACCAGGAACCGGTTATTTATTTATTTCAGCTTATTATGGGGGTACAAATGTTAAGGTTACGTATATTGCCCATGCCCCCTCTCCCTTGAGTCAGAGCTTCAAGCGTGACCATCCCCCAAACGTTGCACATCTCACTCATCATGTTTGTATATACCCTCCTCCCCCCAGGAACCGGTTTTAAGGAAGACAGTTTTACACAGACTGGGGATGCAGGGACGTTGGGTGCGGAGCTCAGGGTGACGCGTGGCCCGTTGCCTAACAGGCCACAGACCAGTAATGGGCCTTGGCCTGGGCTGGGGGCCGCAGCCTTGAATGATGTGGCTGGTGATGACTGACCGAAAGGGATGTGTTGTTAAGTGAAATAGGTTATGAAGCAGAAGGTATAGTGTGATCCCATGATCTTTATAGCAGATGTGCAGCATCCGTGTTTGGGTGGTAGGACTGTGGACAATATTCCTATTTGCTTACCTATGTTTCTAAAATATTTCTACAATAAACATTTAATGTTTTGTACTTTAAAAAAATTCTAATGTCGTTTGCATGATTTAAAATGATGTAAAAGAGTCTCTATGGGGCATGAAGCAATTTTAGCTTAAAGTACCAAGCCTCCTGTCAAATCTCTAATTGTTCAAAAAATTTAAATAAACAAGTTAAACTATTAAGGGGCAGAAAAAACTTTCAAAATTAGGGCACGCCTTCAGATTTTAGAAATTTCTTTTTTTTTTTAAATTTATTATTTATTTATTTAGACAAAGAATCTCACTCTGTTGCCTGGGCTAGAGTGCCGTGGCATCAGCCTAGCTCACAGCAACCTCAAACTCCTGGGCTTGAGCAATATCCTTCTGCCTCAGCCTCCCGAGTAGCTGGGACTACAGGCATGCGCCACCATGCCCGGCTAATTTTTTCTATATATTTTTAGTTGGCCTATTAATTTCTTTCTGTTTTTAGTATAGACAGGGTCTCGCTCTTGCTCAGACTGGTTTCGAACGCCTGACCTCGAGCAATCCGCCTGTCTCGGCCTCCCAGAGTGCTAGGATTACAGGCGTGAGCCACCGCGCCTGACCAGATTTTAGAAATTTCTAATGAAAGCTATCAACTCTAACAGCATCTGCTGATGGGGCACCCTTGCCGGTAACACTAGTTGAAATTTCAGGGATAAAAGGATGTTGGCACAGTTGTTTTTTTTTTTTTATATTTGTGTGTGTGTGTTCAGGAGAGGAATAGGGATTCTTTTCTCACTGTCAAACATGTTTTTCTGAAAAACTCATGTTTTCTGAATCTGCTTGATAAGCACAGAACAATAATTGTCCACCTTGGCTATATATTCAAATCATCTGGGGAACTTTTAAAAAACATAGATCCTTTAGTCCCATCCCCAGCAATTCTGATATTGTTCCGCTGCGGTGGGCTGGGCATTGCTTTGGTAGTTTAAAAGAAAACTGAAGTAACTCCCCAGCTGAATCTTGTCTGTAGTCAGAATTGAGAACCATTGCTATGGAACAAGGGTTGGCAAACTTTTTCTGTAAAGGGTCATATGGTAAATATTTTATGCTTCGAAGGCCATAAGCCTCAGTTACTCGTACTCAGCTGTGCTGTTGTAGCATGAAAGCTGTCACAGACAGTATAGAAATGAATGTGCACACCTGTGTTTCAATAAAACTTTATCTACAAAAAAAGGTGGTGGACTGGATTTGGCCCAAGGGTGTGGTTTTCTGATACCTGCTATAGAAGATACCATAATAAATAGTTTTTATTTTATTTTAATAGCAGTAAAACCTGAGAAGAAACCAGTGGTTTGCATACTATAATGGAAAGAATGTAGGATTTGAAGGTAGAAGCTCTGAGTTCAAATCCTAACTCTAAATTGGCTGTGCAATCTTAGGGAAGTCACTTAACCTCTCTGATCCTTATTTTATCCATCTGTGCAATGGAGGACAACAGTAATGCATACTTTACAGGGGGGTTATAAAGACCAGATGGAATAAGTCATATGAAAGTGCCTCATAAACTGGAAATGCTAAGCACATATTGCTTGTTCTCACAAATTGCTTGTTGCTCAGCATCTTGTGGATTCATGTGTAATAAACATTAAATATTTAAAAGTAAAGCAAATTAGAAAATTTGAATTTAAATGTAATATAAACATGAAGACTGAGAAAAAATGAGTTATACATAATGCATTTTTATTTTCCTAAGCCAACAAAGTGACTTTGGAAGATGGTATAAATATACATTTTTCCAAGATAGAGTTTTCTGGGGAAAAATTAGTTTTCACCACGGTTGTGAAATTTTACAACCGGAACGTGCTGGTGGGGAAGCCAAGGAGGGAGGAAGTGTGGAGGGGTGCAGGTAGGAGTTGAAAGAGCAGAGGCCTGAAGAGAAGCCATGGCAGTGGGCAGTGGGCGCACATCTTTGACCTGCAAGAAGGCAGGGCGTGGTGGCTCACGCCTGTAATCCTAGCTCTCTGGGAGGCCGAAGTGGGAGGATCGCTCAAGATCAGGAGTTCGAAACCAGCCTGAGCAAGAGCGAGACCCCCATCTCTACTAAAAATAGAAAGAAAATTAATTGGCCAACTAAAATATATATAAAAAATTAGCCGGGCATGGGGGCACATGCCTGTAGTCCCAGCTACTCGGGAGGCTGAGGCAGAAGGATTGCTTGAGCCCAGGAGTTTGAGGTTGCTGTGAGCTAGGCTGATGCCCGGGCACTCTAGCCCAGGCAACAAAGTGAGACTCCGTCTCAAAAAAAAACAACAAAAGGCATTTGCAGCAGGGCAGGCTCAGGAGCCCAACTGCAGTCAGGAGGGAGTGGGCGGGGAGGAAATGGAGGCATTAGGCGGAGACGGCTCTTTCTACAAGTTTGGCAGAAAAGGGAAAAAATAGGGTGTAGCTCAAAAGGGCATCAGGGTGGCGTAGATGTTATCTCAGAGCAGGGGAGGGTGGTGCATGTGTGGAGATGGGGGACTCATGCCAGTGGAGTGGGTTGGGAGGAGCGGGGACCAGAGAGGGGAGGGAGGCAGCCTGAGGGCAGACCAGGAGAGGAGCTGGGAAGAGGGAGGGGAGCCAGATCTGGAGCAGTGGAGGCTGGGTGAGTTTGCCAAGAGGTGGGGAGAGGGCACTTGCAAAGCTCCAGAAGTCACTTCCTCCAGGGAGCCTGCCTTGACCTCCGCCTGTCCCTCCAAATCTGGGTTAAATGTGCTCCCGTAGCCACTGTACTTCCTATGATGAAATGGGCTGTTTACTTGGTTGCCTTGTCTCCATCCCCCGTTGACTGCTGGGCTTCACTGAAGACAGGGCTGCTGTCTTGTCTGTCTCTGTATTTGCAGCACTTAGCATAAAACCTGGCCCGGGCAGCACATGATAGATTCTCATTGGGTATGTGTTAAACGGAGTACAAATTAGCTGGTTGGGCATCTAAAACCTTGAGAACTGGATGTGAGTTATGTCTTCTGGTCTCTTTATCTTTTAAACCCTGCAGGAGGAAATTCTGTGCCTCCTAAAGGACTTCAACCCTCTCCATGTGCACAAAATCCAGAATGGCTGCAAATGGTAATGACTGTTCTTCCTTTGTTTGCTTTGGGAAGCACCTCCTTTCCTCCCTGTCCATTTCGCTGATGCGCTGCCTTCGCAGACTGGCCCAGCAACTCCCAAACCCACACCCACAGCGACTTGGCAAGGAGACATTTGGGAAACCCCCTTTCCATATTTAACCTTCTGACTTGGCAGCTGATGATGTCTTGTCAATACAACCACGCTGGTTTGGACTTCTAGAGACCTGGGTTTATTTTTAGTTATGTCCTCGCTGTGTTTTCTGACTTGAGGTAAGTTACTGTGCCACCCTCAGGTCTAGTTGTACCTGAAAACTGGACCTATTCATACTTTCCCTTTCTTATTTTCAAAGCAGTATCAGTGCTTTGAGCTCTTGGGGGCAGTAGAATTAAAGAAACTCACGAATATTCGGTGCATAGTAATAGAGTCAGCTCATTTCTTCTGGCCCCCAGAGGCCCACAACAGTCTCTCGCCTTGCGGGGGCCCAGTCCTGAATCCGGATGTATTTTCGGCTTGTTTGTGCATTTGGAATGGCTCTTCTGTCGCTGCAGAGGGAAAGGAGACTGCTCCCCCACGGGGCCCTCTGTCCCACCTTGGGCTCTGGGCTTCCCTTGCGATGCACTCAGAGCCGCCTCTCTCTCTCTTTCCTCGGCAGCTTCGCCTTCGTAGACCTGGGCTCCGCGCAGGACGTGGCACTTGCGATCCAGGAATTAAATGGCAAGCCCTTCCACAAGCGAAAATTGTTCGTGAATACAAACAAGAGGCCCCCCAAGAGGATCTCTGACATGGCCAAGGGGCCCGAGGAGCTGCCGGTACGTCCTCGGGCCTCTCCGTGCTCTGGCCGCTTCCGTTCCACTCTTCAGGGCTTGGCAGACTTCGCTTCTGGTTCTGTCGCCCTCCTTCGGTCCAGCTTACTATGGAAAACGTGGGGCTCTGGCGAAGTTAGAGAATGCCGTGACCTTTAGCAGAAGCAAGGTCAGGTACAGAAAACTTGGAATTTGTAGATAACAGGGACTGTGTTCTTGGCAAGGACAGAAAGAGTCATTAGGCAATTCAGGCAGGGCTTTTTCAACCTAGGATATTGAAATTCAGGTTTTTACTTGTTTAATGTAGCAAACATTAATGGGGTGTCTGATGTTTGTGCAGCCTGTTCTGGCTGCTTGTGTGAAGTATCAGGACAAAGGTGAATAAAATTTGGTTCCTCCTGGCAGGAAGACAAACATTGCCAAATATGGGGGGGCAGTTAATGGCAGAGGCGGTGCATGTCAGAGAAGGAAAAGCCCCCAACTCACCCCCAGGGGCGTCCCTCAGAAGAGTGGGCCGTTCTCAGCATGCAGAAGTGAACCAGGAGAAGGATCTCATTTCAGAGCCCGCAGTGTTAGGGACCTACTGGCTGTACATACAAGGACATGTGAAAAGCAGTGGCTTAAACAAGTCAACTATTTGGTTTTCTTTCCTATAGAGGCAGTCGGGAGGTTGGGAGTCCAGCATTAGAATGGGGACTCCATGATGTTTTCAGGGTTCCAGGCAGGAAGCAGGGGAGAGGCAAAGGGCAAAAGAGACTGTGTTCTCTTAAAAGATGCATGTTCAGAAGCCCTGACCACAGTTCTGCTTATGTTTCCTTGGGTAGCACTACAACTCATGGCCTATGTACAAAGAGCTGGGACCTGTAGTTCTTTTGTTGATTGATTTATTTTCTGAGACAAGGTCTCATTCTGTTACCCAGGCTGCAGTGCAGTGGTGCCATTATAACTCACTGCCATCTCCAGCTCCCAGGCTCAAGCAATCCTCCTGGCTCAGGTGGGACTACAGGTGTGGACCACCACAGCCGGCTAATTTTTAAATGTTTTGTAGAGATGGGGTCTCATACGTTGCCCAGGCTGATCTCGAACTCCTGGCCTCAAGTGATCCTCCTGCCTCAGCCTTCCAAAGTGTTGGGATTACAGGTGTGAGCAGCCACACCTGGCCTGAGATGTAGCTCTTAAGAATAGGGACATTGTTGCCAAACTGTGGTTCTGTCAGCAGGGAGGAAGGAGAGGGTGCATGTAGGCAGGCAGGTAACAAGGTCAGTCCCAAAGCAGGAGAAGTTGCAAATGGGAGCTGAAAGACAGATTGGAATTACCACAAGATTGTCAGAGGTGGCTCCCCTTGCTAGTTCCCAACTATTTATCTTTCTTTCTAAACCCTAGCAGCTCTTCGGAAGGTTAGGCTGTGAGAGTATACTACTTCCTGAATCTGCTGTGCTATGTCATGCCCTTCACTGAAAAGGTCAGCTTCTGGTTCATTACCTTTCCCCCCATCATCATGCAAGTGTAGCTCCCATGTGGGTGAGCCTTATAAGAGTCTAGAGACCAGACTCTAGCCACTTGCTTCCCGGTTGTTGTATCTTGGATGGTCTTTTCTTCCCCTTGGTCACAGTTTCTCATTCCCCTAGCAGTATTTCAGACCTTGCCATTGCTAATCACTGAGTATCTCCAAAATAGCCATTTCAAGCATCCCACTGTACACCTCCCATCTTTGCAGCTCTCTTACTCTGGAAGAGTGGTTCTCAAAACTTGCCCAAGCATCAGAATCAACTGAAGAGCTTGTCAAAACAGCTTGCTGAGCTCCATCCCCCAGAGATTCTGACTCAGTACATGTAGGATGGGGCCGGAAACCAGGTGGTGATGGTTCTCCTGGTGCTGGGACCACATTTTGAGTAGGAAGGCTCTGCAGCCCCCAGCCACCCCTTGATATATTGGCACACAAGGGTCCCCTAAATCCACTGACCCCACTATTTCTTCATTATTCAACTCTCTTTGTTCTCTCACTTCCCTCCTTAGTTTAGATTCCATAGTCTGTAAGTACCTTAGTCCAAACACTCTTAAATCCCTTACTGTTTTCTCACTGGGTCATATCTTGGAAGCCCCCAATCCTGTTGAACCCAGCCCTCTGCCTGTTCTGAATGTGTCCTCTGAGCTGCTGAAGGCATCACACAACCTTGCTAACTGGTCTCAGTGTACGTGGGTGGTCACAGGCTTCCCCATCTTCTAAATTGGCCTGTCTTGAAATTCCCTAACCTTTGCTGCTGCTATGTCTAGTCTGCTCTTAAGCCCATTTAATGAATTTTTCATTTTAGGTAGTATATTTTTCAACTTCCATTTGGGTCTTTTTTCCCATTTCTCTGCCAAAATCTTCCATTTTTTTCACCGATTTTGTCTCTTTTAGATTCTTTAATATGTTTATGGTCATTATTATCATTTTCTGCAAATTTCAACATCTGGGTCATTTGTGGATCTGCTTTTGTTGACATTTACTCCCTTGATTATGGGTAGAATTTTCAAAATCCTTTAGAAATATAGTAATTTTTTATTGTATGTTGGACATTGTGGGTATTATATTGTAGATACATTATGATGTTATCCTCTAAATAGTGTTGGATTTTTTTTCTAGCAAAAATTAAATGACTAGCACATCTTTTCATTCTCTTAAGGGTTTTTCCATTGCTGTTGTTTAGGATTGGTATGCTTCCATGTAAGCCTTATTCTCGGGCAAAATCATTTTTCCTAAGGCTTGGCCTTTGTAGTGTCTCAAGTGAGTGCTTACCGAGGTCTCTCCCAGTACTGTGAGACCTCGGTCCGTATCTGTGTTCTTCTCTCGGTTCCCTTTCCCTGACCCTCACAGCAGCTGTTCTCCTTCAGGATTCCTAGAACCTGCCCTGCACATAGACAGCTTGGGATTCAGCCAAGGACCTGAGGTGAACTCCTAGATTTCTGGGACTTCTTTGTGGCTCCTTCCTCTCTGGTACTCTGTCCCACAAATTTCTGCCACCTAAACTCTTACCTGTTTTTGCTGCCCAGAGAGACTGCCACTTTCTGTTGGAGCTCTCTTTCCTTTTGCTGTGGTTTGGGAAGATGCCCCCAGGGAAAAGGCCAGAGTGAATGTGGAGCTCACCTGCTTTCCTTGTCTCAGGCACGTTGCCATCTGCCATCCACTGTCATTAGTCCTGTGCTGGAAACAATTTGTTCATATACTTTGCCCAGTTTGAGAGTTGTTTGGGGTAGGAGAGTTAAACTGTGTCATGACAGAATCAGAAACGGAAAGAGTGTCAGAGTGAATGTGGTTCTGGTCAGGCGTGGTGGCTCACACCTGTAATCCCAGTGCTTGGGGAGGCTAAGGTAGGAGGATTGTGTGAGGCCAGGAGCTTGAGACCAGTCTAGGCAACATAGCAAGACCCATCTCTAAAAAAAAAAAAAAATTTAAATTAGCTGGTTGTGGTGGTGTGCCTGTGTAGTCCCAGCTACTTGGGAGGCTGAGGCAGGAGGATCACTTGAGCCCAGGAGTTTGAGGTTGCAGTGAGCTGTTACTTGGCCACTGTATTTGGGCCTGGGTGACAGAGTGAAACCCACTCTGGGTGACAGAATGAAATCTCTTAAAAAAAAATTCTTAGTAGTGAGGAACAGAAGGTTATCCTTAACCTACAAAAACCTACAGAAAACAATATTGTAATGGAGAAACCTTATAAAGATTCTTTTAAAAAATAGAAACAATAGGACTGCAAATTAGTGCAACCTCTGTGGAAAAGAATTTGGATATACCTCAAAGAGCTAAAAATAGAAATACCATTCCATCCAGAAATAGCAGTATTAGGCATCTACCCAAAAGAACAAAAGGCATTCTATAATAACGATATCTGCACCTGAATGTTTATGGCAGGACAATTCACTATTGCAGGGATGTGGAAACAACCCAAGTGCCTGTCAATTCATGAGTGGATTATTAAAATTTGGTACATGTATACAATGGAATACTACTCAATAATAAATGACAGTGATCTAGCACCTCTTATATTTTCCTGGCTAAAGCTTGAGCCAGTTATCTGAAGTGAGATATCACAAGATCAGAGGAATGGGCTCCACATGTGTTTGCCATCAAATTGGCACCGACTGATCAACACTATGGTGCTCACACAGTAGTAATATTCTCCAGGGATTAGCGGGTTGGGGGCGGGTAGACTCACAGCTAAACGACACATTGAGCATTTTAGAGGGGAAGGGCATGCCTCTAACCCTCACTTAGGTGAGGCAGACATAAAATGTAACCAAAATGTTTGTACCCTCATCATATCCTGAAATAAAAAAAAATAAATAAGAACAAGATAAGGATGCCCACCATCACTGCTCTGTTCTACATATATTGGAGGTTCTAGAAAACTAAAGCATAAATTTTGGGAAGGGAGAAAGAAAATTGCCATTTTTACAAATGATGTTTCTTTACATAGAACAACAGAAATAATTATTAATACAAATGATTAGAAATTACAGTTTAACAAGGTAGCTGGATATGTAAGATCAGGTATACCAAAATCAATTATGTTTCTATTTGCCGTTAATAAGCAACAAAATAATTTTAAAAATGTACCATTTACCAGAGCAAATAAAAAGAAAATACGGGCCAGGCGCAGTGGCTCATGCCTGTAATCCTAGCACTCTGGGAGGCCGAGGTGGGTGGATCGCTCAAGGTCAGGAGTTTGAGACCAGCCTGAGCAAGAGCAAGACCCCATCTCTACTAAAAATAGAAACAAATTAATTGGCCAACTAAAAATATATAGAAAAAATTAGCTGGGCATGGTGGTGCATGCCTGTAGTCCCAGCTGCTCGGGAGGCTGAGGCAGGAGGATTGCTTGAGCCCAGGAGTTTGAGGTTGCTGTGAGCTAGGCTGACACCAAGGCACTCTAGCCTGGGCAACAGAGTGAGACTCTGTCTCAAAGAAAAGAAGAAAATACAGTATCTAGGAACAAATCCAACAAAAGGTAAGCATTGCTTATATGGCA